ATGTCACAAGTCTCAGGCACCCCATGCACAAGGCTCCTCAGACACAGCCCTGGATGGTCCCTAGTAACGCTCACAGGTCTCAATAGGGAGGCAAGAAACAACAGATACAAATACACTGGCCACCAGGACTTCCATACTCGCATGAGGGATCGTCTTACTGCAACCCCCCGGGGCACCCAGGGAGGGATCTAACGGTCACACAGCTGCCTCCGCTCAGTATCACTATCCTAGCGGCAAGCAAGCCCTGCCCCCCCACTGTCCAGAGCCCAGTCCTTCTGGCCATGGTCTCCTCGGAGCGCCTCAGCTAAGTCCTGCCGGCCCCATGACCTGTGTTCTGGCTGCTGCCCTGTATCCTGCTGCTACTGCTGATCACTACCAGCCACCGGCTCTGTCCCGGCCTGGCGCCCAGCTGTTGCCTGCTGCCCTTGCTCATTCACCACCAGCCTGGCCCAGTCCGACATCTGGGACTCCCCTTTCCTGTTCTCTGGCCATTAAGGAGCTCTCAGTTTAGCTGAAGTGGGAGACGGTGAGCAGGACAGTTGCCTAGGGCACCAGCTTTCAAGGGATGCTGTACCCTCCCTTCCATCCGTCCTGGGGTAGTGGCAGTGCACGAAGGCTCCCCCCATCCCCTAGCACAGAGCAGCCAGACACTTTGAGCTGCTGGTCAGGAGCTGCCTAGATAAGTGCCTCCCGGCCAGAGCCTGCCTCTGGTACCCCACCCCATCCTAGATCCCAACCTCTGCCCCAAGTCACCACCCAAACCCTCTGTAACACTCCTCCCCCATCCCCAGGTCACGGCTCCCTTCCAGACCCTGCACACACTCCTCAATCCCTCCCCCAGGCCAGAATCTTCTCCTGCACCCCCTCTGGACCCTGCACCCCAAGCCCCTGTCCCAAATCACAACCCAAACTCCCAGACCCCACATCCTCTCCTGCACTCCGTCCTAGACCCCGCACTCCCTCCAGAGAAAACTGCGGGCTTTACCAAAATTTTGTAGTGCCCCCCCCATCAAAACTGATTGCCTGCCCCAGCTGACAGAGCCATGCCAAACTGGCTGTGCACCACTGCCCTCTGCTGGATAGAATCTGAACTGAGGCACTCTGCACATGGCTCAGGGGTGGCAAAGGTGGCACTTGCGAATTCCCACAAATGTCTCGTGAGTCTTCAGAGGTCTGGAGGTTTGTGAAAGCCCCAACTCCTGCAGGCAGGGGATCAGCCAAGAGACCACAACCTTGCATGCTGCCTGTTACTGTCTCATCATTCCTTGTTCTCCCCCTCTGACTCCCGCTCTGGTGTCCTGCAGGGATAGGAAAAGGTATTTCCGCATCCAATGTGCGATGTGCAAAAATTGTCCATGGATTTCTGTGGATTTGCAGAGCTCTACTGACCCTGGCCGGGCTGAGGCTCCGAGGCACCCCCTCCCCCCGCCTGCAACCGGGGAGTGGTGTGAACATGACTGGGGGCTGCTCTCAATCCTCCTCCCCTGACACTGAGGGCAGGGGAGGGTCTGTCACAGCTGTCCAGGCTCCCCTGCTGGCCTGGGCAAGGCCAGTAGAAGTGGTGGGAGGGGTGGGGGTGGAGCAAGCACCCCGGCCCCCGTTCCAGCGCCATTGGTAACAGCTGCACAGTGACCTGTGGAGCAGCCCCTGGCCTGTGTCCTTGCTCCCCAGACCACTGCCACTCCCCCTCCTCCCCGCTTGTTTTCTCTCCTGGGCTCGCCCCACCTCCCTCACGTGGCATCGTGCGCTGCAGCCCGTCACAGCTGCCCACCTGACTCTTTTATCTCAGTATCCCAGCTGCTGTCCGGAAAGATGGTCCACGGATATCCAGAACTGCAGCGGCAGGTACGAAGTGGGTCCTCACAGATTTGAAGGGCTCTACTTATAAGACACTTGGAAGCATTTGGGGGCGGGGTGGTCTTTTTGTTCCCTGTCAGTACAGCACCTAGCCCAGTGGAGTCCTGGCCCAGGGCTGGCTAAGGGGACACAAATAACACGTCAATAATGGCCCACGCTTCCATTTAGGAAAGGGACATTTCTAGACCTTTTGGCTACAGAGCCCTTATGGCCGGAGCATGTGACTGGGATGATTTAGCTGGGGTCGGTCCTGCTTTGAGCAGGGGTTGGACTAGATGACCTCCTGAGGTCTCTCCCCACCCTAATCTTCTGCGGGTCCATGTATCTAGGCAAGGTGCCAGCCGCAGGGAGCTGGCAGACAGAGCCCTGTGGAGCATTGGGCATTATGAACAGGGGCCTGGCACCGCCAGGGCAGCCCTCCCAGAGTCTGGCTGCAGAGCTGTGCTGCATCGCTGCTGCAGGCGGCCAGGGCAGCCCTCCCGGAGTCTGGCTGCAGAGCTGTGCTGCATCGCTGCTGCAGGCGGCCAGGGCAGCCCTCCCGGAGTCTGGCTGCAGAGCTGTGCTGCATCGCTGCTGCAGGCGGCCAGGGCAGCCCTCCCGGAGTCTGGCTGCAGAGCTGTGCTGCATCGCTGCTGCAGGCGGCCAGGGCAGCCCTCCCGGAGTCTGGCTGCAGAGCTGTGCTGCATCGCTGCTGCAGGCGGCCAGGGCAGCCCTCCCGGAGTCTGGCTGCAGAGCTGTGCTGCATCGCTGCTGCAGGCGGCCAGGGCAGCCCTCCCGGAGTCTGGCTGCAGAGCTGTGCTGCATCGCTGCTGCAGGCGGCCAGGGCAGCCCTCCCGGAGTCTGGCTGCAGAGCTGTGCTGCATCGCTGCTGCAGGCGGCCAGGGCAGCCCTCCCGGAGTCTGGCTGCAGAGCTGTGCTGCATCGCTGCTGCAGGCGGCCAGGGCAGCCCTCCCGGAGTCTGGCTGCAGAGCTGTGCTGCATCGCTGCTGCAGGCGGCCAGGGCAGCCCTCCCGGAGTCTGGCTGCAGAGCTGTGCTGCATCGCTGCTGCAGGCGGCCAGGGCAGCCCTCCCGGAGTCTGGCTGCAGAGCTGTGCTGCATCGCTGCTGCAGGCGGCCAGGGCAGCCCTCCCGGAGTCTGGCTGCAGAGCTGTGCTGCATCGCTGCTGCAGGCGGCCAGGGCAGCCCTCCCGGAGTCTGGCTGCAGAGCTGTGCTGCATCGCTGCTGCAGGCGGCCAGGGCAGCCCTCCCGGAGTCTGGCTGCAGAGCTGTGCTGCATCGCTGCTGCAGGCGGCCAGGGCAGCCCTCCCGGAGTCTGGCTGCAGAGCTGTGCTGCATCGCTGCTGCAGGCGGCCAGGGCAGCCCTCCCGGAGTCTGGCTGCAGAGCTGTGCTGCATCGCTGCTGCAGGCGGCCAGGGCAGCCCTCCCGGAGTCTGGCTGCAGAGCTGTGCTGCATCGCTGCTGCAGGCGGCCAGGGCAGCCCTCCCGGAGTCTGGCTGCAGAGCTGTGCTGCATCGCTGCTGCAGGCGGCCAGGGCAGCCCTCCCGGAGTCTGGCTGCAGAGCTGTGCTGCATCGCTGCTGCAGGCGGCCAGGGCAGCCCTCCCGGAGTCTGGCTGCAGAGCTGTGCTGCATCGCTGCTGCAGGCGGCCAGGGCAGCCCTCCCGGAGTCTGGCTGCAGAGCTGTGCTGCATCGCTGCTGCAGGCGGCCAGGGCAGCCCTCCCGGAGTCTGGCTGCAGAGCTGTGCTGCATCGCTGCTGCAGGCGGCCAGGGCAGCCCTCCCGGAGTCTGGCTGCAGAGCTGTGCTGCATCGCTGCTGCAGGCGGCCAGGGCAGCCCTCCCGGAGTCTGGCTGCAGAGCTGTGCTGCATCGCTGCTGCAGGCGGCCAGGGCAGCCCTCCCGGAGTCTGGCTGCAGAGCTGTGCTGCATCGCTGCTGCAGGCGGCCAGGGCAGCCCTCCCGGAGTCTGGCTGCAGAGCTGTGCTGCATCGCTGCTGCAGGCGGCCAGGGCAGCCCTCCCGGAGTCTGGCTGCAGAGCTGTGCTGCATCGCTGCTGCAGGCGGCCAGGGCAGCCCTCCCGGAGTCTGGCTGCAGAGCTGTGCTGCATCGCTGCTGCAGGCGGCCAGGGCAGCCCTCCCGGAGTCTGGCTGCAGAGCTGTGCTGCATCGCTGCTGCAGGCGGCCAGGGCAGCCCTCCCGGAGTCTGGCTGCAGAGCTGTGCTGCATCGCTGCTGCAGGCGGCCAGGGCAGCCCTCCCGGAGTCTGGCTGCAGAGCTGTGCTGCATCGCTGCTGCAGGCGGCCAGGGCAGCCCTCCCGGAGTCTGGCTGCAGAGCTGTGCTGCATCGCTGCTGCAGGCGGCCAGGGCAGCCCTCCCGGAGTCTGGCTGCAGAGCTGTGCTGCATCGCTGCTGCAGGCGGCCAGGGCAGCCCTCCCGGAGTCTGGCTGCAGAGCTGTGCTGCATCGCTGCTGCAGGCGGCCAGGGCAGCCCTCCCGGAGTCTGGCTGCAGAGCTGTGCTGCATCGCTGCTGCAGGCGGCCAGGGCAGCCCTCCCGGAGTCTGGCTGCAGAGCTGTGCTGCATCGCTGCTGCAGGCGGCCAGGGCAGCCCTCCCGGAGTCTGGCTGCAGAGCTGTGCTGCATCGCTGCTGCAGGCGGCCAGGGCAGCCCTCCCGGAGTCTGGCTGCAGAGCTGTGCTGCATCGCTGCTGCAGGCGGCCAGGGCAGCCCTCCCGGAGTCTGGCTGCAGAGCTGTGCTGCATCGCTGCTGCAGGCGGCCAGGGCAGCCCTCCCGGAGTCTGGCTGCAGAGCTGTGCTGCATCGCTGCTGCAGGCGGCCAGGGCAGCCCTCCCGGAGTCTGGCTGCAGAGCTGTGCTGCATCGCTGCTGCAGGCGGCCAGGGCAGCCCTCCCGGAGTCTGGCTGCAGAGCTGTGCTGCATCGCTGCTGCAGGCGGCCAGGGCAGCCCTCCCGGAGTCTGGCTGCAGAGCTGTGCTGCATCGCTGCTGCAGGCGGCCAGGGCAGCCCTCCCGGAGTCTGGCTGCAGAGCTGTGCTGCATCGCTGCTGCAGGCGGCCAGGGCAGCCCTCCCGGAGTCTGGCTGCAGAGCTGTGCTGCATCGCTGGCACCCCGCTGCGCCGCACCTTTCAGAGCGGGATGCTTCAACTGTGCGCCCTGTGGAGTGGGCACAAGGGCTGTTGGAAGCTTTTCTCGCACTGCCTTGGCTAGGCTTCCCACCACCCTTTCTAAGCAAACCTCCGTATTTAGCATCCCGTCTCTTTAGAGAGCCGCTGTGCACCTCTGTATTTAGCATCCCGTCTCTTTAGAGAGCCGTTGTGCACCTCTGTATTACGGGCTGACTCTGAAATGGTCCCTATTTCAGACACTTGACCTGAACTTCCACCAGACTTCAGTGAGTTGCCAGATGCTTTTTAAGGCTGGGAAACCATCAATGGCCTTTCCATTCAGTAAATGGCTTTGCTATCTGTGTATCTTTCTGGGCACTCAGTACACACTCCTGGCGTGCTGTCTGAAGTGCTAGGATGTGGCCATACCAGAGGCAGACTTTGCGTGTCTTGTGTGAGGCACTTTCTAAAACAGCAGTCAGTTTGGGCAGGGGAGTGTGATACTCCGCACTCCCCATACATGGAGAGCCAAAATAGGATGAGACAGTAACCTCTGTAACACTGTTATTCTTTAGTTTGGTGGGCAGGGGATTCAAGAGGAACACAGAATTTTTCCTTATCTATGTATATGCTTGCTTTATAAAACAGAGAAGAAAAAAATGTGTATAACCTACAGATACTGAGCAAGTTTCTCCACCCTCATGATCAGACAAAGTCAGTAAACTAAAACATAACTGTTCCTACAATAGTACAAATGCCTGGTGGCATCATACATTGTTACTCCATGGATGAGGAAGAAAGCAAACCAAACCCAACTGTGCTGCTTTTTGCTTCAGTAAAAACAGAGAAGGGCAAATAAATACTAGTTGTTGACTAAGGGCAAAAATGAGGCATGAATGTATAGCATGGTGAGAAAAGGGCTTAGTAATCAATGAAGAGTAGCCTCCCTGATCCCACCGCATACACAAATACATTTAATAAGCAGGAGAAAGAAAGAGGCCCATGGATGAGCTGCATGTTTGGCCTTCTCTACAAACCTTTGTAACTCCTCAACACTTTCTGACAGATTTGGGGGCAAAATGAAGAGCTAGTTTACTGCTTCTGACTATACTTGATCTCATTTTAATGCTATCCACATTAAATGGAAATCCAGAATTTAAACAGGTAACTGGTAAAAGTAGAGCATAGTGGTCAGAGTATGGTGTTGTTTTTAAACAGCGAAGCATGTTGAGCTGAAATCAAGTTGCACTAACATCTTGGGGGTGGAGGGAAGAGATCTATGCTACATCCAAGCCAGGTGATGACCAACTCTTTAAAGAAACATGTTTGAAACCAAGTCAGTGTCAGACTAAATGTCTGAAGAGAATTCTGTTTTGAAAATTTCTGACACATGGTAGTGTGTTCAAATAGCCCTTTTCCAAAATGGGTAGTCCCTAAAGAAAGGTCTGCTGGTTATAAAGTCCGTGCTAACCTCATTTTTCTAAGGGCAGTGTGACTTTAACATAACACCTTTGTTCTGCGTAAGAGCTAATTCCTCTCTGTGTTAACCTTAACCAGTGTTACTAGCAAGTAAATGCTCTGGAGATCACCCCAGACCGCAGCATGATTGCTGCTGCAGGTGAGTCTTGCTAAGGGGCTTTCCCCTCCTGCTCCCCTTTCTCATGCCTGCTGAGTGGAAATCGTAGTACAGCGTCTGGTGTTGGTGCTCTCCACTATCCCTGTTGTCATTTAGCTCTAGTGCACATCGTTCAATTTTCATTATTGGTTGCTACCAGTAATAGACTCAGAAATGCCAACTGTCATCTAACTCTCTCTCACGAGCCTGTCTCACTATAACCCCCGTGAGAAGTGTACGTGCACTTTTGGACTCGTAGACTCTGCTGAGCTGAGTGAAATGGTGAACTTTGCCTTTAACATGGTTTAAAGCACAGGGGTTGTAGAATACGGCTTCAGCAGGGTTTTCTGATAATCACTCTGTATGTTTGGCTTCTGACCATTAGCGTTCACGTTTCTGTCGCCCAGGTTACCAGCACATTCGCATGTATGATCTGAATTCTAATAACCCCAACCCTGTCATTAATTACGATGGTGTAAGTAAGAATATCACTTCGGTTGGATTCCACGAAGATGGACGTTGGATGTACACGGGAGGAGAAGACTGTATGGCTAGGATATGGGACCTGAGGTAACTGCTCTGTGCTGGGCCACTTGGGACAAAACTCCTAGGAGAGCTGCTGGTTCCTTAAGCCTCCTTGGGCTTTGAGCTGGTGAAATCTCCTAGGCAAAGCAAAGCTAACACTGCTCAGCACTCGGATGGGAGCTCTCCAGGGAAATGCCAGGTGCTACATGTTGTTCCGGGGGTTCAGGAGGGGAAGCAGTCTTTCCCCAGAATGGATATTGAAGCAGCAGTGATGCTTGCAGGGGATGCTGGAGGTACCTTATTTGGAAGAGAGGTAAAACCAAGATCCTGGCCAGCTTCCAGAGCCCCGTAACGAGTAGAGTGTAAACCCTAGGGTTCTGGGCGAATTCCAGTTCCGGTAACTGTATCTGTCCTTCGGGCTCTGACTGCGAGTTACCCTCTGCCCTTGGCATGAGGGTGTCTTAGCTGTGCCTGGCGGGGCATCGGCTCCCTCACACCACCAGCATTTCAGTGATCTGAGCACTGTCCTCTGGGCCATATCGTGCGGGTTAACTGTAGGCACACACCAGTCCCTGAGTTCCTTTGAATCATTTTACTGGGCTTTCTAGCCCCTGACATGGGCTACCCAAGAAATCCCAGATCCTCTGTCCCCAAAGGAGCAGTGTGCCCTAGTTTACCAGTTCTACCTTAAACTACTGCTCCTGGAAACCACACAGCACTTACAGTAAAACAAAAGTAGGGTTAGGTAAGGAACAATAAAGATTTAACTGGAAACGAGAGCGTATCGGAAACACAAGGTTACAATACAGAAGCATAAAGCCTGAGCCTGGGTCTGTACTTACAAATAGTTCCTTTCCTATCTAATAAAGTAGGCTTTGCCCCCTAGGTTTAGTCTGGCAGAAGTAGCTGGCTTCATAAGAACTAGGATTGAGTTTTTCATGAGTACATCTCTGCTTCCCAAGATGTCTCCAAAATGTAAGGATACAGAGGACCTCCTCCTCCTCTGGGTTATATTGAAAGTCTTTTAAGCTAGCTCCCTGCGTGTACCGGGAGGGATAACTGATGAGCCCAGGCTCATCGGTTAACTGTGTACACTTTCACATCCCATGTCACAATAATTACATTCTGTCTCCCTAACATCCCTTCTGAAGTTTCCATTGGTAATGGGATTCTCCACTGCCTCTTCAAAGTTGTTGGGTAGGAGTGGCATGTGCAGTCAAGCAGCAGCTGTGGGCAAACACAGTTGCAGTGTTTGGTTCTTAGGTTTGTCTACACCTGAAGTAAGGTGACTTGTTTAAGGCCACAAAGCAAATCAAAGAAATGGAAGATCTTAGTGTAAACTCATCTCATCTGACTTTTCTTTTTTGTGTTTGTTTTGTCGCCAGGTCACGTAACCTTCAGTGCCAACGCATTTTCCAAGTCAATGCTCCTATTAATTGTGTCTGCTTGCATCCTAACCAGGTAAACACAGTCTCTTTTGCACTGACCAGATTTATTCTTGATCAAGGAATGTTTCACAAATATTCTTTTCCTTGTTTAAATTCTGATGTGCTATATCATTTTATGCTGGTAGTATTATAGTAAATGCTTTTGTATATGACAATATTTTCTCTGTTTATAAAGTCAGGGTTTTCCTCATTGTGAGAGTCAGGTAATTAGTCTCAACAAGGTCTTCTACTCCATGACTTTTAACACCCAGTCATTTACTATGCTTGCAAAAGTCGTCTTGTTTTGATAATAAAAGTGTTTTCTTTTTGTTTTGATTAACTGGTATTGGTTGGTTTTTGTGTCCTTAAACCTACGTGCCTACATTACCTAGGAGAAGCAGAGCCCCACTGTTCTCTGTGGATTACCTCTGTTTGTTTTCCCAACTCCAAGCAAAACGGAGGTTGGGGTAGGGGGAGAGTTTTGCCTCAGGGAGGAGGATTCAAGTGACCTCTTCCCTGGATAAGGGCTTATTTTATATTTTTTTATTTACACTCGATGGTGGCAGCAAACCAATTGTCTGGTCTCAGTTTCCCTGAGACCCAAAAGAAAGACAAGTTTGTCTCTGGGAGTTAGAGACCGGTTCTTACAGAGTTTATTCTGCTAGCCAGCCTCCATATCTACACTTGAAGTGCCAGGTTGGGGAACTGAGCCGTGACTTGGTGAGCAGCAGCGTGAGATCGTTTTGAGAACCCAGAATTTTAAAAGGACACAGGTTTTCCTTTTGACTGGTTACAAGCATAGTAAATGACTGGGTGTTAAAAGCCATGAAGTGAAGTAGACTCTGGAAGAATCCCTGGGCTGTAATCCTTAGTTACAAAAGAGAAAAACAATTAACCAGCTCAGAAATGATTTCCAAACCCCCAAACAAGGAAAACAATAAAACCTGACAGACTTATCTACATTTTTCCCTACTTACACATTTCAAGGAGTCCGTTCCTGGGAGAGCCCGTCTCTCCTGCTCCTTGGGGAAACTGTTCTGATTTTTTTTAAAAAAAAAGAGAGAGAAAAAAACCCTCTTTTGATTTGAAATTCCTATCTGCATTTTTTTGGCTGAATGTCTAAAGCCCTCTCCCTCCGGTGCATCACCAGACTTGCTTAACCCTTTCCTCTCCAGGTAAGTAAAAACTCTTCTTAGCAGTTCCTATTCATGATCAGTATACTCTAGAAAATTAGATTAGTTTAACTGTGGTGGTAACAGGTGTGAAAAATCCACACCCCTGAGTGGTATTCAGTCCTTGTGTAGATAGTGCTAGGTTGACAGAAGAATGTTTCCATCAGTCTAGCTATGGCTTCTCTGTAAGGAGGAGTACCTACATGGATGAGAGAACCCCTCCGGCTGGTATAGGTAAGGTCTGCCTTGAAATACTACAATGGCACAGCTGAGCTATTGTAGCATGTTTCGTGTAGGCAGACTCTGAGGCAGAGAAGTAAGGTGATTTGTTGAAGGCCACAAAGCTAATCCAAGGCAGAGACAGGATTAGAACCTACTAGTCTTGATTTCCAATCACTGCTGTTACATAAGTTGTTCAGAGTCAAAGATGAAGCAGATAATGACCCGTACCTCCATGAAGAGTGAATTTTTGTGAGTATGGTAGATGAGTTACTTTTATGATTGTATTCAGTGCTTCCCTGAGCACCAGATGGCATTACAGAATGAGCACCATCCTGAATGATTGTTATATAAGCAACTAGAAGATTTACCTGACATTGCTCGGCTCCTTAACTCGATGAAAATGTCCAGGCTTCATTTAAATGGTTGCTCTGGGATGGGGCTGGAGATACCGTGCAGATACAGTCTGCAGGCTACCGTGGGCAGAGAGGTCTAACCCAGCTTTCTCACCACCACAGCATGGAGCCTGGTGAGAAGCGCCTCTCCAGGGCTGCTGCAGGTCTCGTGGGCACCACTGGGGGAGAGGTGCATGTACCCAGCTGGGGCAGGTCCAGGTTCATCTGCCCCCTGTGCTTCCCAGCCAGCATGAGGAATGAAGCAAGTGCACTTTCTCCTTGCTTCCTGGTGGAGAGGAACAGTCAGCAATGTTCCCATACAAATTGGGGGTGAAGCGGGAGCTTCAGTTCCCCCTATATGGCACCTGAGGGGTGGGAGGCTTGGGGCTGGGGCAATCCTGGCTGGGGGGGAATGTGCCCCCAGCCAGCCCCTTTCACCTGCCTGGTGATTCTGTCTCTTTTCTGTATGGCTTTCTGAGAAGCAATCCCATTTTCCTGGCACAACCCAACCCTGACCTTGCTTTCAGTTACTCCTGCCCCTCACAAGCAGATACATCAACTTCAGCTACGTAATTTACACAGCTGGAGTTGCATTATCTTACTTCGACCCTCCGATGTAGTTTAGGCCAGGCCATTGTAACTTGTGACCCAGAGAAAATCATGTCAGCCTACAGTTTGAAAAATATTCACTAAGTTTGAATGCTTCCATTTTCAGTGCCCACTTCTACCTCTAGAGCCTGATATTTTTGAAGGTGCTGAAGCAGACTTCAGCTATCGTTGTAGGTGCTTGGTGCTTCTCCAAATCAGGCTCCGGATGTCTGTAGGTGGGTACAGGAAATTAATAGACATTTATTAAAATGTAGGCCTTAACCTTTCTGTCTCAGTTTCTCATCTGTAAAATGAGGATACTTCTCTAGCTCGCAGCCTGCAGTGAGGATTAACTAGTTAACACTTGTACAGCAAGACAGAGATCTAAAGGATTGCCATATTAATGAATAGGTGGATAGAACAGAAAAATCTAGACTTCTTAAATGAGGGTGACAGCAGCATTTGGTGCACTTTTTCTCAGGTGTGATACACCCAGACATTTGCCCCAGTTGATGTTTCTTAGCATTATGGAGAATGTGTTTGCTTCTGGCATTGCAGGCTGAACTCATTGTGGGTGATCAGAGTGGTGCTATTCACATCTGGGACCTGAAAACGGATCACAATGAACAACTGATTCCGGAGCCTGAAGTTTCTGTCAATTCAGTTCACATTGACCCAGATGCCAGTTACATGGCAGCTGTCAATAGTTCGGTAAGTACAGCTGGAGAAAGGGAATGTGAATTGTAGTAAGAGGAGGGCCTGAAATAAAAGCCCATGTAGCACAGGCCTGGTATGAGGCCTGAGGCCTGGCTAACAGTGGCCAGCACTTGGCAAACATAAAGCAAAACTAAGTGGTAAGCAAGAGGCAGGCCCCTGCTTACAGAGCTTGGCACGAACAGGGCTGAGAGTGCAAAATGCTAATTGGTAAGAGGCCCAGGTGCAGAACAGCAATTGGCATTGGTCATAAGTTGAAAGCACATTCCAAAAGGATGGTACCACCAGCTCATTAAAAAAGACCTTGGTACCCACTCCCCGCAAACACCGACCTAGGTTCAGGAAAGGGTCTAAAATGACAGCATGATGGCTAGAGATGATCTAACCAAGCCACGAGGTACCGGGTAATGGGTGGTATCTAAGTAGCATCAGAGGGTGGTAACCTGACATGTCAGCAGTGATGTGTAACTTGTTGGTACCGGTATATAAAGTGGCGTCTTGGGGGAACAGTCTTTCTCTGGCCTGGGGCAGTGGGACCTCCCACTGATTGAGTCATTCCATTGTTATGGGGTACATCTGTCTAGTGGTTCGGTAGAGTCTACCGACAGCTCTGACTGTAGATCACTTAACAATAAACCTGGCTGGCACCACTGATCCTTATCTGATTTGTGGTCTTTGGGGGCTTCTCTCTGGGTCTGCTGTGTCAATTGTGCAAGTCAACACGGCACACTTCATTGAGCACACGTGCAAGCAGCCTTCTGGCTATCCTCATGGACGGAGCTGAAGATGCGTCAGGACACCACGGCAGTAAATCCTGACCCTACAACATGAATTGTCACTGCTGCAGCAATGCATTAGAAGCTGCCCTGCCTTTGCACATGGACACTTTGCTTCTGTGCATGCCTCTGAGGTGCAAAGCTCACGGGGCAGGAGGGAGTGTGTACTTGGCTATAAAGATCAAAGGGGAGGTGCTCAAATCTCTACTCATCCCTTGCAGCAATAATGTCTTTTTCTCTTCGTAGGGCAACTGTTATGTTTGGAATTTAACAGGTGGCATTGGAGAGGAGGTAACTCAGCTAATCCCCAAGACCAAAATTCCAGCACACAACCGCTATGCACTTCAATGCAAGTTCAGCCCCGATTCCACGTGAGTGACTTGCCAGCTTAGTTGTTTACTAGTGGCTAAAACAAAAGTATCCTTTCAAGTCAGGCACCTGGGGACTGTCTGTCCCCCCAGCCATTGACATAATGCTGGCTCCGTAGCAGCATTGCAGCTGCCTGAGACAGAAAGTGGATCAGAATAGGAGGCAGTTCTGTTATTAGCTGGGCCATGCTCACTTATTTCCCTGGTTTTGCTTGCCGATGTCAGGAGCACTCTGGGAAGTGTGGTGAAGAACCCGTGCTGCATTTACACCAAAGGTCTGATCTGCTGGCCTCGTAAAGTGAAAGTCTCTTTCTCTGCCCCATTTACCTTTCATTAACTAGGGCAGATTGCAAGTGGTCTCTAACGCTGGGTTGGGGAAACAGTCTGACGACTCCAGTATATGGTGTATTCAGCATACAGCTTGTTCATCAATTTACTGCCAGTCCAGAACCAGCTCAGTGAGTCACTTAGAAGCATGGCACCAAATCGTAACTATATTCGTGTGTGTCTTCCCTCTTTCTTTCCTAGGCTCTTAGCTACCTGTTCTGCAGACCAGACATGTAAGATCTGGAGGACTTCAAACTTCTCTCTAATGACCGAGCTGAGCATTAAGAGCAACAATCCAGGAGAAACCTCCCGTGGCTGGATGTGGGACTGTGCATTTTCTGGAGACTCGCAGTATATCGTCACTGGTAAGATGAGTCCCTGGGCTGCTAGCCCAAAAACTCCCTGGCTACGTCTAGATTGGCATGATTTTCCGCAAATGCTTTTAACGGAAAAGTTTTCCGTTAAAAGCATTTGCGGAAAAGAGCGTCTAGATTGGCACGGATGCTTTTCTGCAAAAGCACTTTTTGCGGAAAAGTGTCCGTGCCAATCTAGACGCGCTTTTGCGCAAAACAAATCTGAGTTGTCTACACTGGCCCTTTTGCGCAAAAGGGACTTTTGCCCGAACGGGAGCAGCATAGTATTTCCGCAAGCAGCACTGATTTCAGACAGTAGGAAGTCAAGTGTTCTTGCGGAAATTCAAGCGGCCAGTGTAGACAGCTGGCAAGTTTTTCTGCAAAAACAAATGCTTTTGCGGAAAAACTTGCCAGTCTAGACACAGCCCCTTGCAGGGAGGCCTGTGTAGCATCACAGGATTTGGTGACCCCTGCAGCCAGAGATCTCAATGCCTCAAAAGCAGCAGACTTCCCCCGGTCATGCCAAACGAATCTGGTACAGGAGAAGAGAGGATCCCTTCCTTCCCTCGTCACAGAAAGCATACTATCCATCACTGATGCGCTCTTCTGCTACATCTGTAGTTGGCCGAGTCCCTGAGCTATTTTAAACTCTTTAAGTATCAAACCTATTGCATCTTGTTTTAATCAGACATGAGCCTGATGTTTGCTCTGGTGCTGGAGCTACGTTGGTCCCCAGATATTTTGAGATACAAGTTGGGTGAGGTAATATTGTTATCGGATCTGCATCTGTTGGTGAAAGAGACAAGCTTTCCGGCTTACACAAAGCTCCTCTTCAGGTCTGGACCTGACTTCCTTCAGACCTGAAGGAAAACTTTTCTCTCCCCAACAGAAGCTGGTGCAAGAAAAGATATTGCCTCCTTCACCTTGTTTAGAGGAGCCCAATGTGCATTGCTTTTCCATGTGATGAGGAATTAGCCTGAAATGTGCATGGCCATTTTGGTATTTTCAAAGCATTTCCTACCAGTATTCCAATCTGTATGTTACCCTGCAGTACAAAGCCCCAAGGCAGTTGGCAAGAAAAAACAGGCCCAATGAAATGTCCTTATGGTCAATTTCCCTTCCAGCCTCCTCAGATAACTTGGCCAGGCTTTGGTGTGTGGAGACAGGCGAGATCAAGAGGGAATACAGCGGCCACCAGAAAGCAGTCGTCTGCCTCGCATTCAACGATAGCGTGTTGGGATGACGTGCGCTTTGGAAAGAAGGGACCTTTGCTCATCGCAGGGCTTCTCATGGCAAGCATCCGAACTAGAGTATGTGTTTGTAACTGACCCTCCCCCGCTCTGAGAGACGATGGCTGAATCTTCAGCAGAAGCAGCATTCAGCCTGGAATGAGAACAGCCTTCAGCTTCCAACCAGGCAAAACGGAAGTAATCTTCAATAGAGAGGGGTGCGGGGTGGCCCAGGCTGGGGGGGAGTGGGACGCAGTGCCTTTCACCTCCATAGTGTGGTTTAGATCCAGCTCAGGTAGTTAGCGCCTGGAAGGAGTTTATAGGCAGATGGATGTTCAGGGCCTGTATGAAATAGGCAGATGTGCTCAGTCCAAATCCTATTGGATGCACAGCCAGACCCACAAGCATCCATCACATCTGGCACTACTTGGTCTCCTTGTTCAATTTCAGAGGCAAGGGGCTGGATGGGCCATGGAGACTGAATTCCTCTTGCTGCTACAGAGCATCCCTGAGGGGAACAGACCCTGCAGTGCCTTTGAGGACGGAGAGGCCTTCACTCTCCAGGGCTGTCGGTTAGCAGTACACCTCCCATTACTGTTTCCAGGTGAAATGGAAGCAGTTGGAGGTTGCCCTTGTGACACTGTATCTTGCTCAAATCAGAGAGGATCAGCAAACATCTTCTGGCAGCTTGTACTTGATTTTTACCTCCTAGTTGGGGCAGGGAGGCACTCTTGAATAAGCCCTCCAGCTGTTGGGGTTGCATACGAATTGTCTGTTGGCTGTAGCAACGCTACCCCTGAAGGATGGATAGCTAGAGGTCTGCTCTTAAAGGATCCCTTCCGACAGACAAGTGGTTTGGAACTGGCAGTGGCGTGACTAGAGCAGGGTTAGAGGAGCGAGACATGGACTCTACCTTGGATGCTCCTGGGTTTTTTGTTAGAATAAAAAATTGCAAGTAACGTTTCCTTAGGGTGAAAGGAAACTGCCCCTTTTCGCTCACCCCCCACCTTGAGGGGCAGTGAGGTAGCCAGCACTTCTCACTGGGACCAGAGCGCACGGTAGTTAGTGCCCTGCCCTGAGGCATTGGCCCAGCCCCTTTCAGGGCACGGAAGGTGGAGATGGAGCCACTCAAGTGCGTTCCCATAGGCCCTCTGCAGTGTGGACGGTGCAGGGAAAGCCTCGAGCAGTTTGTGTACGGAGAGGCGGAGAAGCTGTAATGAACCATTTTGAAAGGGGCACAGAGGAACAAGAATCATTTCCTCATTTTGGAGGCAGTTTATTTAAATCAGTTGCACAGACTTAGCGTTGCCATTTCAGACACAATCAACTGTAACTGAGTCACCAACGTTCTTTTCCGTTGAACCTAGTACATGCAGCCAACACCCAGCCGGTCCCATTGCTACGTGATGCGATTACTCTACGTGCATGTCTATAGGTCACAGCCCAGGGGCAGGTTGTAAATAAAATGTATATATTGACAGAGCTGCAGCATGCTTTTGGAAGTAGTCCTGTTTGATTGGAATCCCTCTGGCACTTCCCCAGCCTCTCGACTTGCACCATGAAATCAGGGTTGGAGCCTTTCATGGGGAAGTGCTGTGAATAACTTAAGTGACTATCTAAGTCGGAGGCTTTTCAGGATTTAAATTCAAGTACAAAGAGAAATGCGGGTGCCAGGGCCTTGGGAGCAGGGTTTAATCAGGAAGGTAATAAAAGCAGACAGACAAGCAAACATTGCTTGGAAAACAGATGTCAATGCATAGGTAGATGAGCCGCTTCTTCCCAGGGCCTGCAAAAAGAAGGAGATAAAATGCACAGGAAGAAGGGCCTGGCCTCTTGCAGACCCTTCGGCCACGTCTAGACTGGCATGATTTTCCAGAAATGCTTTTAACAGAAAAGTTTTCCGTTAAAAGCATTTGCGGAAAAGAGTGTCTAGATTGGCACGGACGCTTTTCCGCAAAAGCACTTTTTGTGGAAAAGCGTCCATGCCAATCTAGACGCGCTTTTCCGCAAAAAAGCCCCGATCGCCATTTTCGCCATCGGGGCTTTTTTGCACAAAACAAATCTGAGCTGTCTACACTGGCCCTTTTGCACAAAAGCTTTGCGCAAAAGGGACTTTTGCCCGAACGGGAGCAGCATAGTATTTCCGCAAGAAGCACTGATTTCAGACAGTAGGAAGTCAGAGCTTTTGCGGAAATTCAAGCGGCCAGTGTAGACAGCTGGCAAGTTTTTCCACAAAAGCAGCTGCTTTTGCAGAAAAACTTGCCAGTCTAGACACAGCCACTGTGTAGGAATGCAGCTCCGCTGGAGGATGAAACACGAGACAACTGAGGGAAAGTTCTTCCTAGCTCTGGGTTCTCCAAGAGCTTGCTTAATGGATCACTTTCAAGGGGGGAGAGGAGACAGTGAATATTCAGCTGCCAGAGCTATTGAGGTGGCGCAGTGGCCCCCTGCCCTGGTCATTTTTTATCCCACTCCTCCAGCAGGGCTATGCTGTCTCAAGCCAGGCGAAATAGGGTGCAGCCTTTCCTGAGTCGTTCAGAACCAAGCCGGCTGGAAGCTGGTAGCATCTAAGAGCAGTTCAATAACTAGTCAAAAATGAGCTGTCTGGTGCTAGGACAGGCACCTTGCCCATGCTGCAGCAGCCATGGTGGCTGGCCCCCTTGTTACCAGCCGGAGCAAAGTGGCCACTAGTAAATAGTCATGGAGAATGAGCTTACTGGAGGGTCCCTCTAGAGGCAGTGTACTGCTCATTATCAGGTGAAGCTGGGGAGGTTTGCACCCGCACAGCCCCACATCTGTAAGGGGAGGCAGGGACCACTTCATGCAGCAGGGCTCTCAAGCCGGCAGCAGCAACAACCTGCACTCACGTCACTTACAGTATCTCGTCTCCTTCTTCGACACAGCTCAGCCCCCTGGTGTCCCTCTGCCCATCATTTCCCCAGGTTCCCAGCTGAGACCAGGCTCCTCACAGCAGAAGCAACAGCTGCTCCCCTCCTTCCTCTAACTTACCATCCCCTTTCCTGACCCAGTAGATGGAAGTCTGCTCGCACAGGGTTCGGATAGCTTCCCCCACGCCTCCGGCAATCGCTTGTCTCCCTGGCAGGATCCCCAGGAACTCTCTGTAGTACTTGGTTTGATTATTCTGAAGCAGCAGCTGATTGAGCTGGAAGGGATATCACAGCATGGCTTTACCACAGGAAAGAAAGTGTCCCCAGGGCCCTCCACTCCGGTTTAATTCTCAGATCATCAATGCGTTCCCTAGCCTAGGGGCAAGAACAGGGGCCACTCTACAGAACAGGGATCTTCCTTCTGCCTAAGCAGGACAAGATGAGCAATGGGGGACTTGGAGGGGCAGCAGGGGGTTTGCCCTCCTCCCGGGATGCAGCCTTAGGGCAGGGGAGTTTGGATGCTGGTCTCCCACACTGACTTTGAGGCCTGCTTTGGAAAGAGTTCCTTTAAAACCACCAGCCAAAACCCTATGAGAATGTCCCTTTGCCTTACTACATAAGGATCTGCCAGCGTCCCCTAGACAATTAAGTCTCCCTCACGATGGGGAAGTGGGCACACACGGGCGAATCTCCCCCTCACCAGAGTATTCAGTAAGACTTTCAGGCTCCTCACTGAGTGAGTGGCAGAGAGAGGACTAAACCCAGGGCAGGCACTTCCTTGGGGGCTGTCGCGCTTTCTTTCATTTCATTTACCAGCCTGCAAAGGTCTCAAAGCCAGAACACAGCGTCCGCGGAAGGGTGCATTTTGGTTGTGTTCTCAGGGGTGTGCCATTCCTCGGTTAGTTTATCTAAAGGGTCCTAATTATCTGGTGAGGAAAGGCAAGGACGAGTCTGCATCAAACAGCCCCCATAATCAAGGCAGCAAAGAAATCCAAGCACACCCTGACCCGGAGTTTGGCATCTGTCGTCTTGAAACAGGATCTGTCTTTCCCTTCTATTAAACCCATTAACGTTTTGTTCAGAGGGTTGTTGTACATCATTACTCAAAACTTATTTCACTGCTGATTTGCTAACAAAACTACCTTTGTGTCCTTTTCCCCAGAATTATTATTAGCAGGTAACAGAATCTGCCAAGCCACTAGAGTGAGACTGGGTTTGTTTTTTGTTTTGTTTTTTTTAAAGTCCAGTTATTCACATCCCACAGCACAGCTGTTTTGCCCTTCCACCTTCCTCCTTATGTTTTGTACAAAAATATTAAATCACTACAAAGCCAATCACCCATTTCCCCCCCACGTCATTTGAACTGTTGTCACACTCCAACCTGGCCAACAGTGCAAGGCACTCAGATGCACTATTCTCCAAAGGAAAATATTCCTCTGCTCTCATCTTAGATACCAGCCTGTGGGCTGGATCCAGTCCACCAGTGTTAACCCTTGGTGGGCCCCCAGACCGCTGGATTTACCTGCAGCTCCCCAGATAGAGGGGATCACAGCGCCTGGTTCCTGGCCAATAGGAGCTGTGAAGTATCTGCAGAGGTGCATGTAAATAGAGGGGCAGAGGGCTACCAGGGGCAAACCCCGGTGAACCCCGTCTTAGGAGGACAAATGATAGAAATGTCAAAAAGTTCCTTTGCAGCCGTAAGAGCGAATAGTTCCTGTTTAGCTTCATGTGCGTCGCCTCAGTTCAATGTATAAAAACATTCACAGGCAGAACAAATCCAGCCCGCAAAGGGGAGTCTTTGGGAAGCTGGTGTCTGTTCTACCCCAAAGGCTCAGCTACCCTAGTAAGTGTCATGTCGCTCCTCACCCTGTGCTCAGACAGATTGAAAGACATCTGCACGTTCTCAAAATCCCAATCGTCCATCTTCCGCAGGTAGCATGCGTTTTGATCTGCAGGTTTATAGCAGACATAGCCCTGTGCAAAAATACAACACAGAACAGCATAAGCTTAATTGACACACTTTGTGTGTGTATGCAATGCGTATCTATAGCTGGCACTTAAGAGAAAGGCTTCCCCCCTTTGTCCTGCATTGTTTGGAAAGACCGAGTGGCTGCCTCTCAACAGGCCTGAGCAAAGACCTGAAATTGTGTGCGTGGAGTCTATGTAACAGTAGCTCTCAAGCTGTGGTCCAAGGAGCATTGGCAGCTGCCTGGAGAGAGCTAGCTGGTGACAGTGCGGAAAGGAAATGGCCAAACAGGCTTTAGGCTCATGATTCTTTTGCATGCAAGTAAATGCTGCAGTGATGCCACGTGGTCACAGGTGGGACTAGGCCTAGTGGGGTCCCTTGTAATCGTGAGTGCACATCTGGAATTAGAACTCACGAGTTCCAAAGTCCTGGTCCCCTGCTCAGACCATCACTCAAGGACATGCTGCAGCATCCTTTGCCTATTGCATGGTCTGCAACGTGGGGAAGACAAGGGGATAACACAAGGGAAATTAAAATAATATTGGACAGCTCCTCTCCAAGGCGCTCAAGCTGCCTTTCAGGCAGATGTGCCCAGTGCATGGCTTTCTGGTACAGCACAACAGGAGTCTCCAAAGCCACCTCATCTCTAGGATTTGTGTGAACGCAGAGGATGTCAGGGAGGACTAGGGCATCTCAATCAGTGCTCTAAACAGGATGTATAACTGCCTCAGGCTGCCTGTACAAAAGGCCGTGTCTCCTTAAAGCTTCTGGAAAGGACAGTTGGAAAAACCAGCTGATCATCATCACACCCTTGTCTGCACCTAGCTCTCAAACCAATGACCAGGTATTTTAGTTTCAGCTGTTCTCCGATGTTGACTCTTATAACTGCAAAGTCACCCGTTTCGCCCGCAGAGATGGTAGCGCCATGCACAGCCCTCTTGCTCTGCTGCACTCACATTCTTGCTGTCGAACAAGACCACCGTTGTGTGGTTACTTGGCGAAGTTACGTGGTAAGTAACAGTACTCTTGGACTTGTCAACAAAGGCCGACTGATTCATCTGGGAGCCCTGGTGATTCTGAAACGTTAGCCGCACAATCTGCAAAACAGGCTGAGCACACACACATACAATGAGAGCAGGGGCTGCGCTCCCAGCCCTGAGGAGGGACTGGTTGGGATCGCAGCTTCAGAGTCTGGGCCAGCTGTGTCCCTCACAAGGGAGGCCCATTCTCCTCTCTAGTTGTTTTAATCTGCTTGCTTCAGGGAACATGCATGTACTTCTTGCTTATTAGGAAAATAACCTCCCTGGACTTTCGCTTCCACACGTTAAATAGCCCTGGCTAAGCACAACGAACAGAGGCAAATGCAGATTCTGTCAGGGCAATGGGGCAAGCAGATTCCACACACTAGGGCCTCCACCACAAGCCATTCAGACTGAGGGTACATGGCCATGAGTACATGCGAGATTGGGGAGAGCTGATCTAAGGCATTGGGCCCCAATCACGTAGAGCCTGGAAGTAAACAGAGCTAGTGGGGGAGTCCAAAGCAGCAGCATAACTGAGGCGAGACTAGCTTCACACCCGCTAGCGTGGGGGATATTTGCAGCCCCTTGCTCCCAGGCCAACATTCATGCTCCTCGAGTGCAGAGAGGAAGCCCTGGATTCCAGCATCAAATGGAGAATGTCTCAGGGAGGCGTTGAATCACTGCTCGCTGTGTGGGCACACAGACCCGCTATGGCTCCCCTAGTGGCAGGGGTTGTAATCACACATGCAACCTGTTTGCTTAGATGAGAACGGTGCCTATTGCCCTTATTTACAAACGGGATGGCCTAGAGACTCCTTTGATGTAACCGTCCTGTGCAGAGTTCTCACCAAAATGTAAATTCCACACCAAGCTGCCTGCATCACTCCTTGAAACATCCCCCCAGTTGGATACTACGGTGGGACTGTTGCTCCTGAATGCATTATTAAGGGCTGCTCTGGCACATCACTTTAAAAGGGACAATGGGACAGATTAATTCCTGATCTCAGCAGTTACATGAAGGGCAAGGGCAGAGGAAGCAAACCAGTGCCCTCGGAACAAGGACATGCTCCATCTCCATAATCACAGCCCCGCCTCCTCCCTGAGAAGCAGGGCTATGCACAGGGTCCTTTCCTCCCTCCGCTCTCTCCCAGGGGAGGCAGCAGGCACTCCCTATTACTTAGGCCCATTAGCCAGGGTGCATCTGCTTGGCTGGGTGGGGCTACTATACTCTTCTGTCACACAAGGAAATTTTAACTGGGGAGGCCTCCAGAGCAGAGGACCATAGAGTTAACACCTCCCTGAGCTGAGTGGGGCAGTTCATACTTCTGAGACCTGCTGTCTCAGGCTCTCAGCAAACTCAAGCACCCATGACTTGGGTCAGTCATGGTTGCACCAGGTTTTCAAACTCTTCCTAGTAGCCTTAAAGGGATTGGAACAGAACAAGAGAACAAAAAGAAAAAAAACCACAAAGGAGTCAGATATAATCACGATTCCAAAAGACGGGCTCTCGGTAGAGGCCTACAGTACTGGTTCCTTGAGTTCACCTTACCCAGGGATGAATTGGCCATTTTTTTTTAATTTCTTCTCTGCGAGCAAACCTCAACATTTTTCTTTTTATCCTTGACCATTTCTCAGATTTTCAAAGAGAAAAAAATTATTCACCTCAATCCAAGGCGCTTACTGTGACCATGCGGAGTGTGTTGCTATAGCTGGGAGGCAGCGTTTATTATGTGAGATTAAAGTATCAGGAACACTTAAAAAAAATATGGGTCTGCTGTCACCATGGTGAAAGGCATCCTTTGGACAAAATTCTGACCTGTATAATCCTACCGATTCCAAGCGGAATTCAGAACAGGATTTGACATGAGCTCAAGTAACCGGTAAAACTTTCTAGATATTTATTGATCAGTAACTGTATATTTGTTGTATTGTAAAGACAGGAAGAAAAAAAATTGTGGAATTCCTTACCTTGGACGTCCTATGGGCAAAGCTGAGAATTACCACAACACTGATGCCGACAATGGTGAAAAACAAGATTACAGACAAGATGACCCAAAATATCCTGGAAGGAGTTTTGGATTCTGACAGGGGTCTTCTCTCCTGGGAGGCAAGACACAGCTCAATAAATAAGAAAGCAAATGGAGTTAAAGATCCCAGGGTCATTTATTCACTTAAAATGTAGAAGTGCATTAGTGTTCATGAAAGGTGCTTAATGGGCAGCCGTGAGGATTAAAGGCAAAGTGTTGGGACTTGTCTATGGGGAAACTGGCCAGCAGAACTTCCAAAGCAGAATAATGATACTGGGACAGTCACTTTAATCCCAGAATAGAGTGTCTACATGGGACATTACACCAGCAGAGCTATAGCGGTATAATTGTACCACTGTAGTTCTGTCAGTAATTTCATCACCTAGATAAGAAAGCTTTAAAATATTAGTAACAGTTACTTGAACCACCCAGACTTCCTGAGTGGAAAGGCCACTACCTTACTTTTCATCATAGGGAAGATCTAGAAGAAAATAATTTTAGTACTAAATGTCATTGTCTTGATTTGAAACAAACACTCTAATTAAATTCCCTGTATACTACAGCACTGGTCCTTTACGCCTGGTCTATAAAAGATAATTGCTTTTATTTTGTTTTCCTGTGACAGTTTGTACTTAAAACAAAACAACCCCCCCCCCCACCATAATAAAGTCAAATGAGTATTTCTAATATTTCCACAATGTTTTGATACACATAGCATTTTTAATACTATGTGGAAAAGTTTGTCATTTTTATGCTTGTATTGAAATATTTTTGTAGTAATTTCATAATAGATTGTAGATATGAACATTGTGCCATGAAAATACAATAACAAAATGCAGATTTGTTAGAAAAATAACCCATTTCTCTGGCTTCAAAGCACAGTGATAAAATAATTTCAGGTGAGTAGATTGTTAGAATTAAACAGTAAAGGTACTTCTAAGTTTATCAAGTTGGTAGCATTTTTAAAACATTTTACTAACCTTTACAGTTGATCTACTGTATATTCTAGAAAAATGCATTAAATGTTAAATCACGCACAGGCTGTAACATTAAACATTAAAGATACCTACATTCAAAAGCCTGTTTGAATATAAATTTGCACAAGAGTTATTGGTATGAGACTTTCAATTGCAAGTGAAATTCCCCTGGTTTGCACATGGACAATGAAACCTTTGTATAAAGGTCTAATGAAATCCTGTCTTTCAGAGCTCTTTCCTTGGTGGAAATGTCCTCAGTACTTGTGAATTCCAATGGATTTGCAATACACATTATGATGGATTGGTATCGCTTTCATTTGATTTCACTACATGCATGTCCCTGGATCATTTTAGATGTATTCCACACTATGTACATAGAGGGATCTGCAACAAATCACCAAATGATATTATTCCAACAGGTTTACAGGAGCTAAGATTTTAGTCCAACTAGTTGGGTCAGTGATAAGCACGCAAATCTTACATTAGTCCACATGAGCAGCACCTTGGAAAGTCTGGTAACCCCCATGCCAACAAGCTGAGGACTCTGCAGAGGCAAATGGTACTGAGATCCTTGCTCTGGGTGTCGCAGGCTGTGCCCTCACAGAAGGGATACTTACTGCAGAGGTGGCATTACCAGCACTGTTCCTTTCCTTCTCCATCCTCCCAGTCTAGAAACAGCCCTTGATCCTGCAGCTCTGTCTCCTGACAGTGCACAGAATGTGCATGATCAGAACCCTCTGAATGCAGCTGGAAATGAAGGATGTGTCCATCACAGCCAAATAAAATCCCTATCGAGCCTCTCGTCTAGAGAAGCCACGTGGAGGCTGAAACTTTAGATCCAGTAAATGAGGGCAAAACGGCTACTGAGGAGAGATACTGTCATTGGCGTAAAGGTGTTCTTCCTGCCTCCCCTTGTTAGCCAAAAGTATTCAGTTGAACACAATCATGGGCTTTGTGCAGGGCCTTTTGGGTTATCCAGCCACACTCATGGTAGCTGCCAAGTCTTATTTATTAGAGGGAAAATGAAAATGAATAGAGGAGAGCAGCTGTTTGCCCTTGTCATCCAATTTCTTTTACAGTTCAGAGTCAATGTAAAGCTGGTCAGAAGGCTCTGGGAGGCTGAAATCAAACTCTCTCTAGGCCTATCAGGGTAAATTGAGTTAAAGCAAAGATTTTAATCAGCAGGCACAAAACTTTTATTTAAATAATTAATTTTAGTCCTGTTTTGCATTTGTACTTTTTAGTTATTTTCTCAAAGGTTCTCATTGATTGGTATTCATTAAAACAGGTGGATTTGCATCTAAATAGAGCAGTATTTCTTAAACTTTTTAAGACCGATGAACACCAAACAATTTTTTTTTAAAATGAGGAACACCAAGGATTTTGTTGTTCAACAAAAAAGGGGGGGCCTGCCCCTTTAAGGGCAGCTATTTTGAACTCCGTTGTTCTCCGCAGCACACCTCCAACTGTTAAACACTGAAATAGAGCATTTACTTTAAACTGGTGCTTTTTGCTAACCAGGAGGATACAATATATCTACCCAGATTTATTTTAAGATTTTATAGCTTAAGGTATATTTATTCAGGTTAAGAATAATGTCTTGTAGTCTATACGAAATTCAATGCAAAATGGACATTTTTTTTAATCAAAAACAGAACTATGCTGGATATACAAGAAAAATATTTGTAAACCCATTGTTTAATACATCAGCTTTAAGTGCAAAAATATTATCTGTAATAAGTGAATTGAACGAATAGTTTTTGGTCATGTCCTTGAAGATTTTAGAACTACTAGAATTCTCATGCCCATTTTCTTTTCATAGATTGGAAGAGAAAAAAACCAAGCAATGCCAATTGCTTCCTAACTTTGAATGAACTAGTCACTGAACTGAATCATTTGAATAAACTGAAATGAATAGAGCGCTGAAGGGGCGCTGGAACAATTTTTACAGTGGGGGTCGGAGAGTCACTGAACTGTATATCCAGTATATAATGGAAACTACTTCAAGCCAGAGGATGCTGCAACCCCCCATCCTTAGTTCCAGCATCTAGGGAGCCCTGCAAATCCATGGCTATCTGCATATGTGGGTATCTGTGGCTCATTTTTGCCGATATGGATGTAAATTTTGTATCCACGCAGGGCTCTATGAATAAAATACTCTGTGCAGCTGCAGAAGAGACTATGGCTGTCAGAAGCTGATTTAGCACTTGAACAACTGCTGCTTCCAGGTACCTAGCCAATGACTTCCAGCAATTCAGTGATTTGACACAATTTGGCAGCACATAGGTACAGCTAAATATTTCTGTATTTAACAAATGGTTTTAAAGAAGACTATAAGTAGTTTAGGCCTTACCATAGTTTAATTTAAAAACCTATTTACAAATAAATTGTAAGTACATAAAATAACTGTTATTCACACTGATTTTTATTCACTCAGAGTGATGCAGCACACCTTATTGCAGTACAGATTTGCCCCCACCTATGCATGCCAGCCACTTTAATGACTTACTTCATTTAAGGAACATGTTATTAAGCCACAGTACTTCACAATGCTGGCATGTATTGAAGAGTTATTTCTTCTTGCTACTTTTAAAACTTGAAAGGAATGAGAAAATGTGGCAAGATAACTTTCTGGACACGGTAGAAAGTGGGTACGTAAGTCATGCCTACTTTCTACTATTGCCAGAGGATTACCTTGCCACATTTTCTCATTCCTTTCAAGTTTTAAAAGTAGCAAGAAGAAATAACTCTTAAAGAAGTAGCACCAGCTCTGATGAAAGAGTAGGCAGTGATGCAATTTAATCACATGGGTTAGTTCTGCAAGAATAACTGCTGTCCAACATTTCAACAGTGCAGCACATCACTCTACTCTTCTTTCAAACAATTTTATATCACATATATTCTCTCTGATTGAGCAAGAGATCTTTCACAAGTTATTCGAACATCTCTGAACAAAAAGGGGCAGAAACCTACTTAGCCATGCTGAGTAAGACATTTTGTTTGAAAATGCAAGAATGTGAAGATTCTAACCACATCATAGGCTTCTACAACCTACTCGTTGCTGGATCTAGGTACTGAGAATGGAAGAATAAGATTGAATTAATTCTATTTCTAAAAATTAAAGTTAGCAATATAACAGCGTTTTTATTTCCCTTTAGATGCAATGCTTCATTTTGTTGTAACAGTACATGTAAACACAGAACAGATCACAGAAACAATGAGAAAAGCCAGAGGAAAAACAGGTTTGTAAGTTTAATGTAAATTCAAGTATAGGATTGACAACTCCAACATAATTTATATGGAGACTCCTGAAGCATAATAAATGCATTCACAAATACAGTTCCACA